ATAATATAAACTAATTAACCTATTAATACCCAAAAAAATGTTTCGATGCGAGACCCGCCGCTTAATTCATTTGAGGTATCCACCTCGAAGAGTCCGCCGGGGTCCGGTGCGACGAGTCCACCTAGACCACATCAATAATATATGTTATTAACGAAACGCAAAATACAACATTTAATATATTAAAGGCCTCGTTCGGATATCTGTATCGAATTAATTTAAATTAAATAAGCTTGGATTGATTTTATATTGACTATTTAATTATTTAGTTAAAGATCTTCTATGTCTTAGACTGAATTTTGTATTAAATTTGTTAAATTCTGATATTACATGTGATTTGTCTATGAAAAATTTTATTTAACAAAAAAGAGATAAAATTCTAAGAAGAATAATTTTTTATACTTTCCCTTTTCTGTCACCCATGGAAATTTAATTACACCTGTATTACTAATTTAATGAAATAGTAACATCTAATTGTATGCTTCAATTTTGTAGCGGGTTTGAGTAAATATGAATTTTGTGAACCAAACATCTTAGTAGACCAAATTGTTTTGGGCCCGTTCAGTTACCTATATTGAATTAGTTTGAATTATATAATATTGAACTAATTTCTTACTGACTAATCAATTATTTGGTTAGTAACATGTTGGATTCGTTAGATTAGCTCTCGTATTAAATTAGTTAAATTCTGGTATTATATTGAATTTCCATAAAACTTCTTATGATAAAAATAAATTATGATTTTAAGGATAAAACTTTCATTTTCTTGTTTAGTCACCCCCGACAAAATTAACCACAGAGCGGAGGGATGCTACTGAATTAACGAAATAATAGCATATATAGTATGGATTTTAGTTTTTATAGCGGTTTTAATAAGTACGAATCTTATCAACCAAATATCTTAGTGGCCCCAATTACTTAAACAGCAGAACTTAATAGTGGTAGCATAACTTAATAGTGGTAATCGAACGAAGTAGTAATAGAAGTGAGTTCCAAAAAGTAAATAATTGCATACTAGTTCATTCTGGTTCCAAATCTAGAGGGGTTGTACTAATTAAAGGGAATCCTTTTGTCTGTCCATTTTCTGGGGGTGTACGTGTGTTGATTCAGTTTGAATGCAATATTTTTCTTACTATAATTGTTTTTTGCACCCTCATCTTTCAACAAATATCCAATACATCCTAATTTAGAAAAGAAACATCTATCTTGATTTGACAAATTTGTGAAAGTGTTTTGTCTCAAAATTCGTTTTGTCAAAAAATCATATTCTACCGAGCAAGCGTCTTTGTTGAGATTTCGCGTAATTAAGTGTTTTCTAGTACGGAGATTAGAGGAACTGGCATTGAAGATCATAGAAAAACGGCTAGCGTTTTACATGTAGTTTTTTGGGAAAATGTATTTTTCTCTTTTTCAGTTACAAAATATTTCATTTTTTCTCCCCCAAATCATTTTATCTCGTATATTTTACCTCATAATCGAACATGAAATCTGTTTTACCTAGTCACTTCATGCTTGGTATGAATGAATGGAATAAGGTAGGAATGAAATGCTAGGGATATTGTCATTCTCATGTTTGGAACGTACAAGTAATGAAAAATGGAATGAAATAATAATTTCTGGATTGATTTTAATTTTTTAGATTTGATAATTAAAAAATAATTAAAACTTTAGTAACTAATATTCAATAATAGTATTATCCAATAGTAATTATAATATATGGTTAGTATTTGTTTTTAACTATTATAATTTTAAGGTTGATTTCTTATTAAATTACTATATATTATGACTAAATATATTCGAAATTTTCAAATATCTTAATATCGAAATAAATATATAAATATAATTTTCTTGTCAATAATATTATTTTATTTTTATAAAATAATTGTTGGTTGGATGAGTACGAAGGCAAATATGATTTTCTTGGGTTTAATCTTCAATTTTATCGATATTATTAAATTTATAATTACAATATTAACAAAAAAATAAGTATAAGTTCATTCCTTGAATATTATAACACTATTCTAAATAAGTGTTTTTTTATATATATTATTAAGAAATATATTTTATTTTATTTTAGATTTTGAATTTAATATACATAAATAAAAATATATAATTGTTTTTACTAATAATTTTAATTTATTATTATTTTTAAATAATTAACGATGGGTCGATTTCATGTTAAACTAAATCTTTGTGGTTAAAATTTTCAATTGTAACCCCAATTTAATCAGTTTTGACCACAAAAAAATAATTTTGACTTTTTCGATTTTTTTTTCTGCCGCCGGTTTCCGGCGACTTTTTTTAATGATTTTTTTCCCTAAAATTTTTGTCCCGTTTTTTTACGCCTGCCGCTAAACGTTTACCGTAATTGTACTGTCATTAACAGTAATTATACCGTCACCGACAGTACATTAACGTAATTATACTGTCGTTGACAGTACATTAACGTAATTGTACAGTCGTTGATAGTACATTTATGTAATTGTACCGTCGTTGATAGTACAGTTAGAGTCGGCAACAATATTATTACTTTTTTGGGTTTTTTTTTTTTTTTTTGGTTTGATTTGTTGACAAGTCAACGTAATTATATTACTTGAGTTTTTTTGTTTTGTTTGAGTTGTTGACGGAGTAACGTAATAATATTATTGTCTACTATTGTAATATTACCGTAAACACAATAACATTATTGTGGTGTTGTTACATGAATATTACTATTAACCACATTAATATTAATTATTTGTCGTTTTATTATGTTTACCTTCGTTGAACGGTCAACATATTAATATTACACAGTAATAATGACTTTTGTTGTGTTAATATTATTGTGTTAGAAATTAATATAGTAATATTACTGTGTTAAACTGTAGTATAGTTAATATTATTGTGTTTAACAGTAATATAGTTAATATTACAGTCAGCCACATCAATATTGATGTTTAAACGGAGGCAAAAATATGTAAAGATAAAAAAAAATCGAAAAAGTCAAAGCCGAAAACCGACGGAAAAATCAGGATGTAAAAAAAAGGTCAACGGCGGTAACGGACGAAATTGTACTCAAAATTGTGTTTTGGGTCAAAATTGAATAATTTGTGAAGTTTGCGTTCAATTTGACGTTAAATTAAATTAAATGATGAAAGTGGAGCATATTAAAATGCGAGGCTATTTTAGTCTTTTATAAACCTGTTGACAATGTGTAGACTTTTTTGTAGAAATTTTTTTTTTATCTGAATCTCTTTATAAATAAGTACCCATTGATGGGTTTGTATGTAAAATGTCATACAAGAAGAAACTTATAATATACTGAATTAAAAAAAAAAGTAATAATTAAAATAAATTATATTTGCCTTAAAAAAACATTATATTTAAATATGATTATCGACCACAAAATAAATTTGTGATAAAGTTGAATGAGAAATTAAGTATAGATAGACGAATGAGATGAGTTGGGTCAGTGGGACTGTGGCGGTGTTCATTCCGTAAAATCGAATCATTCGAGAAATTTCCGTACACCAAAATTTCATAGGTTTAAAATCGAATCGCAATATACTGTTCCCTTATGTAGAAAATGAATTACCGAAAATTTATTAAAAATACGAATTTTTATTTATGTTTCTACTTCTTGGTATAAATACAATGAATAATAGTATAAACATTAATATTAGGTATATACATATAATAATGCATAGATTAAAATTTGCATTTTTGGTAATATCGAATTACAAAAAAATTGAAAATAAAAACATCGAATATCGAACAGAATTAGCGATTCGGTATTCAGTGCGTGTCGAATTTGCAATTCGGCACGGTTCCGTTGGCTTACCGAACAGATGAACGGTCCTAGTCGAGGGAGGTCGATGGCTTCAAGCTCTCGGTAGATCCGAATATACAATAATGCCACCTGGGGTTCATGAAAACTAATGCAATATATATTTAACGTTGCGAGAGTAATTTTACTATTAAAAAACTCATCGCCTTATCTATATATTATTATCTAGATGGTTCATAAATCTGATCATGTCTGGGGGCCCACATTATATTCTGCTAAAAGGAGAAAAAAGAATATTCTGATTGTTTTGCATGTCAAAATCGAAAGATTTATAGAATGATTATACACCGGGTAGATCTTTACCATTAATATACACACAAATACATACACACCCACATTGATGTGTGTAGATCAACGGTGAAAAATCACCCGGTGTAACCTTCACCGGGTGTAGGATAGATAAAACCCACAATCAATTACATTTACATCAACACACATAACTGAATTTATTATGCCAAATATAGGTGCAGTGGATAAATTTACACTCTCAATGAATAAAAAGTCGAAGCATGTGTGACAAACTCCACCTAGCGATTCTTGAAAAAAAAGTCGAATTAACTTGAATTAATTGACACAACTAGAGTATCACCTGCGGGGCATATATTTTTTATTTTATATTGTTATTTACTTATGGGTAAATTACAACCACCCTGAGGTATGGTTAAATTATAAAAAAACTCCTCATGTTTGGGTAATTACAACCACCCATCAACTGTAAATCGTCTTACACGTCCACCCTTGCGGTTTCAAATTTAGTGGAATCTTCGAGATTATATGAAATATTTTAACTTTTGTACGCATTTTATCCCATTCGAACTCTACATTTTGAAGCAAGATGATCATAATATGTGTTTTTTTGGCTTGTATATATCTGATTGTGGTGCATCATAAACTGTATTTTTACACAAACGAGTACAAATTAGAGCATATTCCACGAAATCTAGATGATTATGTTAAATTTAACACCATAAGAACGGGGGTGTATGAAAAAATATAATTAAGGGAGTAAATATAATTATCAGAACAAGATGGTTTTTTCATAAATTCATCATATCTTAGGGGTGGTTGTAATTTACCCTTTACTTAGAGCAACTCCAACCCATTGTTATCAAATGGGGTTATCAAATACTCATTTGATAACCAGGATTATACTTTGATATCTCTATACATCTAGTGAACTCCAACCACAAGTATAAAAAACAATTATCAAACAATTTTATGATTATTTATATATTTATTTATTTTTCAATCTATTTTAAATAACCATACAAACCGATTTTTCTGGTAAACTATCTTCAAAATCAATATTAATCAAGTTTTTACCTTTTCAATAGAAAACAAAATTATATATAAATAGAGATTATTTTTTTTTCCGTGGAACTTTGTTGAAGCTCTAGAGAAAGAAAAAAAAAATATGTTGAAAACGTAAAAATTTAATTTTATTCTGTTGAGATTTTTTTTTTTCAGTGGAAATTTGTTGAAGATGTAGAAAATTTAATTTTAGTCTGTTGAGATTTTTACGTAAAGAAAAGAAAACTTAATTATGTTGAAATTTTTTTTTTTCACGTGCTCCTATTTTTTAGGAGAATATTTGATAACTATTTATTTGGGATGTATTGTTACTCCTGAAGAATGGGTTATTAAAATAGAACCCTATTTTAATAACCCCATTGGAGGAGAGGGTTTTTAAAATTGGGGAGTCAAATAGAAGTTAAGGGATTTGATAACCCATTTAATAACCCGGTTGGAGTTGCTCTTATTGGGGTTTCGGAAGGCACTAAATGAAAATGTATGTAGCATCTAATTTTTCCTCTATCTGTGCGACTGTCTTAAGCTATTTTGGGGCCTGAATTAAATAATAAATTGAGGCCAATTTCTATTTTTATTTTTTTCTCATGAAATATATGATATACATTTAGAATATATATCATTGTAGAAAAAAATTCTTCTAGATTTGAAGGATGTAAATGTGTTGATTAAATCATTATATTCAAAGTTTATATCCGTATTTGTTTAGTGGTAAGATATTAAGATGGCTAATCCAATTAATCCTTCTTGCGACAAAGCGGCTGTTAATTTTCTTTTTTTTTTTTTTTTTTTTTTTTGGTTTTTTTTTTTTTTAGCGATTTAAAAAGATGTTCAATTGAAGCAATGGTATCAAGTGTAGTTGATATTATTATATAGAGATTAAATTCTTGGGAATCAACTGATATTTAATATAAATCGGATTTCACTAATTTTTTAACATGTGGTACTCTTAAGTTATAACTCTTAATAAATCAAATAATTATAATTAGGGTTAGAGGGGTTACGGATCATGCTGAGGATTTCTTTTTTCCTTTTCTTTTTCTTTTTATTTCCAATTATTAGAATTCTAATTATATTTTTATTTAAATTATCCACGTGTCAATCATCATATGGCATCCGATTTTCCTATTAAAACAGGTCATTCAGTCTAAATTTACACCCTATTATATACCACATCACACATGCAAGTGTTTGGACTTTGGATAAGACTAGTATTTTTACCCCTGCGATGCATAATATAATATTTCAGAAGTGAAAATTAGAAAATTAATACAGAAAAAAATTAGAAAAATAACAATAATTACAAAGATGCCATCAAAGAAAGTGAAATAATAATAATAATAATAATAATAATAATAATAATAATAATAATAATAATAATAATAATAATAATAATAATAATAATAATAATAATAATAATAATAATAATAATAATAATAACTACCTTATTATTGTTAAAAATTATGTTAATTATTTTTTGCTTATAACAAATTAACTTAATTACTTTACGCCCTCTTTTATTTTTATAATAATTATTAATTACTACGTAATATAACAAACTGAAAATATTAAATCCTACACTAATTTCACAAAATCATGCACATAACTAAAAATATTTATCTCTCTAAAATTTTCTTTTTTCCTTCCCCACCCTTTTTCTTTTTTCCCTATTTTTTTCACAAAATCACACACTAAAAACGTCCCTAGCATTCCAAGTTTGAATTTGACAAAAATCTTCATATGTTCAAACTAAAATAAAGTTGGAATTTGAGGAAAAAATCGAATTGATATGAAATTGAATAATAAAAAAGGCTTAATGAAATTGAATAAATATCAAATAAAACTGAACCTCTTTGTTTTATGATTAGTCACGTATAAAAATAATAAATTTTAAGTGACTTGGATAAAATTATTTTATAGAGAAGCTAGAGAGAATATGAGTAGATAAACTTTTTTCTTTTTAGTTTATGTGTGGAATTTAGTAAATTTTTGTGTGGAATTTAGCACGCTGCTATAACAAAATAATATTATAAGAGCCAAAGATTTTCTTAACATATTTAAAAAAATGGTTGTATCTTGATTCCATGTAGTAGAATACGGTCACGAGTAAACATATCATGCTAATCTTCGCCACAGTCACGCTCAATTAGTCGATTTGGTCAATAATCAAACCAAGCTCGAATATAAAAAACTTCAATAAAGAAACTCACAACAAAATTTAACAATCACAAACACTTGTATTTATTCCAAATGTACTAAGCAACAATAAAATATCCAAACGAAATCGTATTTAATTAATCATTTCTTAAACCGAAAAAAAAAACAGTTATTGCAAACATTACAAGAAAAAGATGATACGGCAGAAAAAAAAAAAGAATCAGAAAATAAATACGAAGTAAGCTGAAATTCTCGTAGCAGTTCTCCGTATGATTTTTATCTAAAACATCTAAACCGAAGAATATTACCTCATGGTGACATCATCATTCATTCATTCATTCATCGACACCAAGATCGCCCCATTTAACGTTGTACCTGGCTGCGAGGTAGTGGGCCCCGACCGGGCCCCGACTTCCGTAAGGATAATATTCTGGGATTATTTTATTTTCTTCGAGCTCCTTTAATACAGGAGTGAAGAGCTTCCAAGCTGCATCTAATTCGTCGCTCCTAATGAAGAGTCTCCTTTCACCTTCAACCGCATCTAGAAGAAGTCTTTCGTATGCATCCGGTATCTCCTTCGAGTATCTACGAGAAAAAAACATATCAAAAATATGAGTAAAATTACGATTATAGCCTTGTGTTTTTTGCAATTTGTTGAAATTGCTTTCTTTCTTAAAATATTATAGGTGAATATATAGTTGGCGTACAATAGAAAAACAAACAAGAGAAACGAAAAATGATCGGCCAAAGTGAAAACTTACCCTAATCGATTTCCTTATTATCATTAGGCATTGTTTGGTTCCTAAGATAAGGTTACTTGGGATAAAGATTAAATAATTTTATGAAAACCGAATTGTATTATTAAACCATGGGAGGTCCAATAAATAATCTCCCAATTAGCCAAGATTATGGCCCCTTTTTTTTTCCCACAATTGCGGGCCCCGCTCAAAAAGTTATTAGACTAACCGAATATCTAATAAAGTCCAATTATTTAATTAATCAATCAATCATTGCTAATCTCATCAACCAAACTAGGCCTAAAAGGATATGAAAATTCCTCTACAGTAAAAGCACCAAAAAACTTGGTTTAGAGAAATAATTCAACTAGGTAGAAATTAGATCAAGGTGCAGAAAAATTCCACGGATTAAAGATTATAATTTATAGAAAAAAAAAAGAAAAAAATAAAATACCTTGCTTTGTAGAGAAGATTAAGATTACTTCGGTCCAATCTCATTCCCAATCCCGGGACTTTATTATTAATCTTGAGATAAATAGCTTCGTCGGGTTGAACGCGTATTACGAGCTCATTAGTCGCTCGATCAAGATCCGTACCAAAGTTCCTATTGTATAAATTACCAGGAACATGTCTAAACTGCACCCGTATTTCCGCCCTAACAAAACCCAAAAAGAAAAATCAGAAAAACAAAAAAACAGAAAAAAAAAAAAAAAAAATATATATATATATATATATATATATATATATATATATATATATATATATATATATATATATATATATATATATATATAGTTTTCACTAACGTCTTATTATGTAGAGCTTTGCCAGCTTTCATTAAAAACGGGACCCCGTCCCATCTGGCATTATCGATAAAAAGTGCAGCAGCAGCAAAAGTGGGAGTTAAACTATTTTTAGGCACGGTGGTGTCGTCTGTATATCCAGGGTAAGAAACACCTCCTCTCGTGTCACTTTTATACTGCCCTATCACAACATCGTCTGCTCGTATCGGTTTCATCGAACGCAATACTTTCACCTGTTTTTTTTTTTCCAATCAAATAATTAGTCAATTAATTATAATACGACTTCTCAAATTAGAAAAAATAAAAAATAAAAAAAAAATAAAATAAAAAAACTAGACCTTTTCGTTACGGATATCTTCTGCATCCAAACTGACAGGAGTCTCCATGGCGAAGAGGGCAAGTATTTGGAGCAGGTGGTTTTGCATTATGTCTCTGATTATTCCGTAGTGATCGAAATAACTGGTACAACAGAAGAAGAAAAAATTAAAATTGATAAGAAAAAAGGTGAGAAATGTTTTTCTTCATGGGAATGTGAAATGACGAAATTACCCTCCCCTTCCTTCAGTGCCGAAGTCCTCAGAGAAAATCAGCTGAACGTTTCTTATGTACTGCCTTGACCATAAGGGCTCGAAAATAAGATTGGAGAAACGAAGAACGGAGAGATTCTCGACTAGCTCCTTTCCAAGATAATGATCTATCCTGTAATAGAGGAAATCATATATTGTTATCCTTGTTCGGTAATTATGATTAGGCTTCATAGATAATATAATCACGCTTTGTCGACTGTTTCGGGTTTAGATTTCAAAGCCCATTATTAAAAAAGGGCCCGGATTATAATCAAGCATATGAAGAGTATTAGGCCATGTTTGGTTGGGTGATACATTAATCCGACTTTATCACATGTTTGGTTTCCATTACTGGACCTCGAATAGATAAAGATGCCGGGTTTCAAATCATTAAAACCGATTGACTATTTGTCCAATCAAATGAGATGGGATTGTAAAAACAATCCAATTGACGTGTCCACATTTACTTTCATATGAAATCACATCAACCAAATATGCATACTCGGATTGATAATTTTTTTTATTTTTTTAATAGTAGAATCCAGTGATTATTTGGGTAATGATATCACCCAAATAAAACGGTTGCCGGTTGTATAATAACAAATAAATCCCAAAGATAAGATAATCACATAATACAATATTACCATGGACAATGTAACCGTGAACCAATTCAATCAATCCCCATCAATCTTATAAGGCCAGGTTTGGTTGGGGAGATTAGCCATGATTAATTACATAATTATTATCAAATAAATAATGGGATTTTTTTTTACGTTTGGTAAACTCAATAACTTTCCGGGTCGACCCAGAAATATTATGTTTTCATGGCTTATATTGGCTAATACTATCTTGGCAACCAAACGAGGCCTTAAATGTTAGTTACCTGAAAATTTGATCCTCCTCCAAGTATTGCTTGAGAGAGGTAGTCAAAGCAGCCGAAGATTCCGAATCACGGCCAAAAGGTTTCTCGACGATAACCCGAGTCCACCCATTAGAAGCCGAAGCCGATCGACTCGCACATTTTACAGCAGCTACAAATATGTTTGGTGGGATCGATAAATAGAACAGCCTATTCGCAATTCTTCCACCCTACACAAAAAAATATATATATATATATTTCAAAAATACGTAATAAAACGCCAAGAAAACCACCAACTCGTAAATTAAGTATATACAGTTAAACCTCTATAAATTAATATTGTCGGGACTAGGGAAATTCTATTAATTTAGTGAATTATTACATTATCGAGTTAATAATTTAACACGTTTTCACCGAATCGGGACCGAGAGAAACTATTATTTAATCGAGGTTATTAATTTATCGAGGTTCTACTGTACCTCGTGCTCCTTGAGTTTCTTATTAAGCTCCGTGAAATTATCCTCTGAATCGTATTGGCCAGAGTGGTAGAAACATCTTTGTAGGAACTGTTCCATCTTTTCACCGCAATTTTCCCTAAAAATAAAAACACGAGATTTTTTTTTCGTAAGAATCGCAAATCAAATCAACGGAAAGGGGTAAACGTAAATCCATTCACTAATCAAGAATTACCGTTTGTCGATTCTGCAAGTAAGTGTCCGGCTAACCATATCTCTCAATTCGGCATCGCTCATCTTACTACGTGCATAACCGAATATAGTGAAGTGCTGAAAACGAATAAACAAGAACGAGAACAAGTTATTATTTATCTACTACACCTTATGGATAAATAATAAAATCGTACTTAATACTCGAAAAGCAAACCTCGGGAAGGCAATCCTCGTAGTAAAGTGCGAAAAGAGCAGGGAATATTTTCTTCTTGGCTAGGTCACCAGACGCACCTACCACGGTAATACTAACAGTCGATTTGCTGTTGTTTACGTCCGAAATAATCGGGGCTTTGTTTTCCTCGGGTGAGGTGATTGGGGATAACACTTCTTTCGATTTCTTTAATGGAGTTTCGCTTGTTGTAGGAACTTTAGTGGGCAATGCACCTAAATATAGTTACACGTTTTCAATGTAAAAAATAAAATAAAAATTGACGGCATTATATGTTACCAATTTATCGAGTGCAAAAATGAGTTTTCACGATTGCAATGACGATATTCAATCGGTTTAATCAAATAGAAGACGGAAACGGAACACAAAGTAAACATCAGCTTTGTGGTGTGTGCAAAAGCATTTCAAAGTCAAATGCTGAAATTTAACAGAACTCGAAAAACCGATCTACTATTTTTTTTTTGCTTCGTATGAACTCGATGAAATTAAGAATTCTTAACCATAAATTATGCAAATCAGCACCAAAATTAAGAAAAGAAAAAAACCCATTAAAGAAACTTTAGTGTGTGGCCAAAGCACCCAGACATAATTACAAAAAAAAAAAAAAAAAAACAAATTTCCTGAGGATGTAATAGATTAGTAATTCCATTGAGTGCAAGAATCAATTTCAGGATTGGAATGACAAATCAGCCCCAAAATAAATAAAAAATAACCAAAAAAACCCATTAAAGCAAATAAATCCTAGGAACACGAGAGAGAGAGAGAGAGAGAGAGAGAGAGAGAGAGAGAGAGAGAGAGAGAGAGACCACAAAGGCTTAAAGAACAGTAAAACATGAAGATTTTGCCCTAATTTAATTTAATCAATACATAAAGGGGAAAAGAAAAGAGAAACGAACCATCTTGCATGAGAATCGCATTGGACAAAGGGGTGCACTTGGATTGCAAAGAAACATTCTTTGACCCTAATTTCTTCCTAGAAATCACCGAAAATTGAACATTTTTGAGAGACTGATTAAACCCAATTGAGGAAGAAGAAGAAGAAGAATAAGCTGGTGATTTTGAACAGCAATGATTCGATGAAGAGAGCGCAGCAGCCATTATCAAAAATCAGTTCAACCCAATACCAATATTAATTTGTTGTTGTTTTAATTTTCTTATGGTTGAATAGCAGAGAATCTTTATAGTTGAAAAATGAAAAGAAGTAAGAGAGATTGGGGAAAATGAGCTTCGGAAATGTCGAGGAGTTGGAGAACTCTTGATATCTCCGAAAGGCTGCTCTCTCTCTCTCTCTCTCTCTCTCTCTCTCTCTCTCTGTTGTGTATTTGTATATACAATTTGGTCGTTTTGGGCTTTTTGCCATTAACTCCATTGTTAAAGAGGCCATTGGGATATAAAATATAAATTTTGGCAATTCATTTAATTTCACTTTCCACCCCCAATAAATTATTATTATTATTCTTTTCTGCACTTTATATTCTTGATACAATTAATTATAGGGTAAATTACAACCATCACTGAGGTATAGTCAAATTACGAAAATTCTCCTCCTGTTTGGGTATTTACAATTCACTCTTCAAATATAAAATTTAGTGAAATCTTATAGATTATATGCAATATTATCACTTTTCTACCTGTTTTATTTCATTCGAACTCCACATTTTGAAGCAAGATGATGATAATATGTGTTTTTGGCTTGTATATATCAGATTGTGATGCATCAGAAACTATTTTTTTACACAAAATGATTACAAACTAGAACACATTCCACGAAAATCTAGATGATTATGTTGAATTTGACACCATAATGGTGGAGGTGTAAGAAAAAAATCATAGTTGAGGGGTAGATGTGATTATCCAAACAAGAGGGTTTTTTTCGTAAATTAACCATATCTCAGGGATGGTTGTAATTTACCCTTAATTATATTTTGTACCCGACCCAAATGCACCGAGATCTATTGGGACTCGACTCGGACCCGGCCCCGCCTCCCAGTGGGTTGGTTTCGGGCCTCCTAAAACTTGGACTAGAACCCGGTCCGATCTGCCCTGTGGTCGTGTAGTCGTTCGTATATACAGGACAACATCAATTGGCTTCTGGATTCAATTTCTACAAGATAGATGTAAGGTTTCATAACTTTTTTTAAAAGTTAATTTTGTTACAATTGAAAAGTTGGGAAGCAACAAAATTTAGATACCTAAGATTGAATTTTAATAATAGAAAAGGAAATGTGCAAATTCTCCTAATCACTATGAATTGGTACTAAATAATAGTTTTGGTTATGAGTGCAACAAAGAAACTAAATATACATTTAGGTATACGTAAGCACTCTGATTTTTTGGTTTTACATTATTATCAATATTACGTGTTAAGCTATATTTCCTATATATAATATAATATAATTCAAATAAAAGATCTAAAAATTATGTTTATACCGAAAAAGACTCTAATGATTACATAAATGGAGAAACATAAAGATGGTCCTCTCCCTCGTGTAGTGTTTAATTTCAAATATATATATATAATTTTTTTGGTAACGAAAGAACGCGCATCGCAGCCAACACATACAGATGTATTTAATAAATCTAGACTCTCGTATAATAAATTACAAAACATACAAAAAAAATATAAACCACGCTAGACTAATTATGTATGCCAAATTCGACATTAGATCTATAGATTGTTGGAAAGCAATTGAAAATTGGATTAATTAACACAAGTTTTCTTGCTCCAATTGCTAATCCATATCCTGCAGGGACAATTTCAAATATATATTATTATAACATAAAGACAAAATACATATATGTTTACTCTTTCTTTTATGAATGTCAATTATTCATTTTGAATTAGAGGAGTTGACTGCCATGTTTGTCCTTTTATGTATATCTTATTAATAAATATCGAAAAGTGTAGCTGGTATTGGTAGATGGACTTAACCCAGATTCCAAACATGTATGGGCTTTATTTGATGGGCTCTCCAGCCCAAAATAAATAGGATGTTCATTTTAAAGAAAAATAGAAATGTAAAAGACCAATTTAAAACGTTTGCTACTCCATTTATTCTATATTATATATTGTTTTAGTGAGTTTTTCCTGTCCAAATTAATTTTTTTTTAGGATTGTTTTGTCACATTGTTGCATATAATCAAGTTGAGTGGGAAAAAATAATTCTAAGAAATTTAGGAAAATCTATGGAATTTTATCGGGAAAAAAAGAAAAAAACATATCGAGTGAATTTTTGTTACTGATAATTAAAATAAATATGATGGAACATGTTTTCACTTATGCGAGAAAGCAATATGAAGTGTAAAAAAATTTATAATATCTCCAACTTAAAATACAATATATTGTCCTAACCAAATGATACAACTACTTTCTTCAATGCACTTGTATCATCAGTGCAAATAACATAATGAAAACAAATGCTTGCTTCAAATCAACCATTACTTCTAAGTAATTTGTAAACAAAATTATTGTTTGCATGTAATGAATACAACACATCAATAATTACATAATCACATAAATGTGTTAAATGAATGATAATATATATTAAAGTACCTTAGTAAAAACTATGTCCGAGTACTACTTATCGACAAATAAACCTATTTGTTTATGAAATGCATTAATAGAAATAACCAAAAAGATACCAAATTATTTTGATAATGTGATGTTAGTAAGTATGTACTTTCATATTTGCCGAAACATTTCTTTGTATACGACATTGCTAGTGACATTGCATATTTCATTCGATTCAAATTTGATGAGGATCTTTATGCCAAGCCTACTTTTGACTCTAGACAACGCTACATATAACTGGTCGTGGATGAAAACATGTCTTGGAAGGTATAGTCTGACATGCGAAAGCTTTTGGCCTTGACTTTTGTTGATCGTCATGCCAAATAAAAATATCACCGAAAATTGTCGTCTCTGAAATTTGATTGGCAATGTGCAATTTGACGGCATCAAAGTCATTCGAGGAATGGATACCATATCACCAACATGCTTACCAGAAAGAATCTTGCAGTTAATAACGTCAGTACCCTTTTGAGTAACTTGAAGCCTAGTTTCATTGCGCAATCCCCTGACTTGATCAATATTTCTAATGAGCATAACATGAACACCGACTTTAAATTTCAACTTATGTGAAGGAAGTCTGGAGCATGTTATGGTATTGAGGAAGTCAGTGGAATAAAATTCTGAGTTAATTTCAGAAGTTGCCTCATCGTGAAAGAAACTGCAATTATTATCACTGACATAACCAAACCTCGAAGTTGTCTCATCTAAAAACACTAATATAATTATTATCACTACCAAACTAAGAAAAAAGACGTTTTCATCAATTACATAATTTGATTAAATATTGCAGTATTAATAGAGCATTCCCGGCAGACCCAAGCCTCAGAGTAATCAATTTCAAATTCATTGGACTGATTGCCACAAATACATCCTGGGTGCATAGTCGTGTAGTGACAAGTAACACAACATAACAATTCATTCTTTGGCCCATAATGCCCGCAGTGCATGCATACAATGATCATTGATCCGATAGACTCTTGCACATGTTCGTTCAGTTTTCCAGTCTGAATGGATTGAAGAAGAGGGCTTACAATTGCAAGATAAATAACGGAAAATCGATTGAAGTAGAAAAATAACGAAACAAAGATGAAAAAAGGCAAAAGACGCCAATAACAGTGGAAAAGTGAGTATCCAATGATAGATGCATTCTGAATATGTAATTCATAACCAGCAAAATGAAGCATATAAAAATAAATACATACTCTTGTCCAATTAAATGACGATATTTCAAATAAATTAAATTAAAATGGTTTACATATGTAAACCATACTAACAATGAATGCCCGATGTTTCTAAATAATGTAATAGAACAACACAACCATAAAAGATTATGAAAACATGATTGCAAGAATAGTACTATTCTAAAGAATATTTTTTTGTACAATTGGAGAGAGAGAGAGAGAGAGAGAGAGAGAGAGAGAGAGAGAGAGAGAGAGAGAGAGAGGGAACACAAATAGGGATGGAAGTCCATATGTACCATATGATTGAGGGAGATGTTCGTTGTTAGTGAGAGTCTCTCATTTAAGATGGAAGTTTGTAGTGACGTGTGAGAGGTAGTGGTGTGTGAGAAATACATACATAACCTATATTTATTCTGTTCGTTTTTATTCTGTTAATTTCATAGTGTTAACGTGAACGAATTTCACAGTTAGATTAAACTGTAAACACCAAAGTTAGACAGTAAAAAAAAGACAAACTAATTATTCTTTCATATTTTTTTTTATCTTTTTGTATTGAAACTTTTTGTTTTTCCCTTTTTGAAAATTCTCGCGGTCGATTTGCAATTCAAATCTACTCCATAATAATGCGACATTTCATTAACAATAAGATACATTCAGAAAAATCGTGCAATTTTAATAGAAATAAGAATAAACACAACCACTTATAGTAAAAGCAAAATCAAGAACACTAACTTGGAGTAAGGAAGGAAGCAATAATAAAATGGAGAATATATAACATCCATCTACTGCAAGTCTTAAAAAAGTTACAACAAAAATGGAGTTTCAATAAAATAAACTTAAGTAAAAGTAACATTGCAACCACCTAAAAAAACTCTTGAAACATACAACCAAAAAATTGGAGTTCTTAAAACAAAAGTACCACAATAGTTAATGCTATTGTACTATCGCCAACAACACAATGATATTTACTACCATTATGTCATGGTTTCTCTATTTTGATTTTTTTGTATGACTTAGTGATGTAGTTCCATCATTTAATGAATTAGAAGACTCGGCTACATCACCAAGTCGTTTACCATATGATTTACTAACTGAGGTGTTGTCATCATCAAGATTGACGATCTAGGCAAAGCACAATTACAATGTCAATGATAATTAGAATTGGTAGAACTTATTCACCTTCGTAAATGGAAGAAATTCTAAACAATATGAACATAGATACATTGGGAGAATCATAGACTCATGTGCTAAATTACTTTATAATCAAGTGAAGTTCTCTGGCTCTCTATGGGTATATATATATATATATATATATATATATATATATATATATATATATATATATATATATATATATAATGAAGTTCACAAACTGTTTGCACATACAATTAAACCCATAAATGATACTTTTGATACACGTATAACTCATCTCATGTCAGTCTTATCCAATAAATCTTAAATATTTAAGTGATAGTTGCTAACTGAATAAAAAGATAATTCTTACATCCAAGTTGTCGTCACCAAGTCTTATACCACACAATTTACTAATTGATGTCGCGTCATCATCAGGATCGACGAAATCCTAAAAAAATATTATA